TGTCCAAGGGTCTGCCCTGCCCACCGCTGCCCAGGAGAGGATGAGCCTCCAAGGTGACACTGACACCTTGATTGCAGCTGTGTGACCCCAGGCAGAGGACACTGTTCAGCCCTCTGAGTCCTTGTTCACCAAAAGCATGAGATAATAAATAGAAGGTTTTGGAGTTGTTCCTGGCAATTTGTTCTAAAGTAATAATTTGTGCCAAACAGGACAGGCTGGCGGGCCTGAGGGCAGTGAGGAGAGAGGCTGCTTTGGGCAAGGCTATCAGGAGAGCCTGCCTAGCCTCTACTACCCTTTTTGGCAAGGGGTCCCTGCTGTGGTCAGGTTGGTCGCACTGGGGCTATTAGAACCCTCCAGGATGAGAACACAAGACTGGCTTCCTCTGAGCACTGTACATCTTCTTTTGGCCTTCCAGAGCAAGAGGCTGTAGGATGAAGCGAGTGAGAGAAGGCCTAAAGCCTGTGTATCCTAAGTGGGTCCTTAACTCCATCTCTAGCATCCGGTCCTTCAACCAGGTAGTCATAGCTGATGCACAGCTATGGAGAGGACTCCATGGCAGGACTGTGGAGCCTGCACTGACAGGTGGCTCAGTTGGCGCCCGGAAGCACAGGCGGGTGTGGGAGTTGCTGCTGTCACGGGTGAACTGGAAGCAGAGAAATGGGGATGTATACTAAAATACCCACTGTTGCTGGGTGGTGACAGCACACACCTTTAATTCCAGCACTCAGGAGCCAGAGGCAGGTGGATCTCTGAGTTTGAGGCCCGCCTGGTCTAAAGAAGGAGTTCCAGAACAGCTACTCAGAAACAGGGCTACACAGAGAAACCCTGTCTCAAAAAACCAAATCAAACCAAGCAAACAAAAAGGAACCCTGCTGTTGAGTCTGTCTGAAACCCTCTTGTCTCTACCTACCCAGTGTAATCCACCCGGGACTACAGACATGCGCACTGGGCCCAGTTTTTCACAGTGTTGCTGGGAATCTGACTCAGGTCCTCATGGCTGCAGTGAGCACTTTCCCCGTCCCCAGACTGTCTTTTTGGCTGATCTCAGGTGTAGGCCCAGGGTGGCTGGTAGTCAGGGCTGGGTAACGGGCCAACTGAGAAGTGGGCAGTTACCTGTCCAGATGGTTGGTATCCAGGGTCTCAAGAAGCAAGCCTGGCCTTTGTTTGGCGTACCACTTCCACTTTGGGCTCACCTCAACTCACTCAAGTGAGCTCATGAAGGATCCAGGCACATGGCCTTCCCTACGTCAGCAGGTCCCCTCCCAGTCTTGGCTTAGGCCAAGCAAACACCATGGCCCCGGAGTTGCCAACCAAATCCATTATTTCCCCAGCACTCGGCAGAGAAGGGATGTGGCTTTGTGGCAGCAGCCTATTGTTACAGAGAGGGTGTCAACACAGCAGCTCTGCACCATGAGATTAAATAGGGTTTATTGAGGGAAGCAGAAGAGCAGAAGCCAGTGGTAGGCACCAGGCCATCAATATCCCACAGGGGTGGCTGCTTCATGGCTTGCTTGCTAAAGGAGAGGAGCATGCAGCTCTATGACAGGGTGAGGACAGCTCTGTCTAGGGTGTAGCATGCAGAAAGTTCTGCAGTTCCCAGGGATGTTAGTGTCACTTGTGGCATGGCTCTCTTTGTTCTGCTAACCTCTCTGTAAGAGGCAGGCTTTGATGATATCTAACTACCCTTGTGTATCAGGCAACACCATGTGGACAATTCTTAGTGGTGCCGCTGCCCACAGCATGCCTATCTGGCGTCACCTCTTCCTGACATCTAGGCTGGCTCCGTCCAGGAATTTCTGCTGCCCTGAGAACTGTGGACATAGGTTTAATTGAAGTTGGGACAGAATGTAAGATGCAAAGTCTGACAGAAGGTACCGCAAAGCCTTGAGACTGGCCTGCTCTGTCACGGTTGGGGCTGACTGTTCTAGTAAGCAGCAAGTGACTGAAGACCAGGAAGGCTCCAGCATCTGCCCCTAAAAGATGCAAAACACAAAACAAACATCCCCCCCCCCCCGCCCCATGACTGACTGGTACTGTCTTCAGAGGGTGTCAAGTAGTTCCCATACACACCCTGGCTCAGGACAAATTCACTGGTGCTGAACTCTGTGGAGCTCACAAAGGCCACACCGACTGGAAAGCTCTCTGTAAGGCGCATGCTCTGGAAGCAGATGGTGCTGAGGTCTTGGGCAGCAGAGTGGGGTTGAGGTATATCAGTCCAGACACGTTTTCTACAGCTGTCTAAGGTCACAACGGCGACAGCAGCATGGCACAGGTCTGCAGGCTACCCATCAGCTTCGCACTATTCTTTTGCCAACACAGGATACCACCCAAGGTCCAAGTAATCCTGGGGACCTCTGAGGAAATGTGAAGGCCGTCGATGCTCTAGAGAGTGAAGGAGTTGTCAAGCAAATCTGAGTGGATGGGAAGCGCCTGCACCGAAAGGAAGCATCGGGGGTTGTCGGTGGCTCCTCTGTTGTTTCAGAGAAGACTTGCCTCATCAGGACCCGTTGCTCAGTTTTTGCTCTTCTTTGATGTTCCTGATGACAGAGAAATATGTATCATTACAAAGGTTTTATTTGCTAAGAAGTGGCTGCGCACACCTTTAATCCCAGTACAGGTGGCAGAGGCAGAAGGATCTCTGTGAGTTCAAGGCCAGCCTGGTCTACAGAGTAAGTTCCAGGAGAGGCAGGTCTATACAGAGAAGCCCTATCTCAAAAACAAAACAAAACAACAACAACAACAAAAACCCCAAAGTTTATTTATGATCTAAGTCTGACTTTTGCTTTTTTTTAAAGCCCTATCTCACTATATAGCTGAGGTAGGCTTGGACTGGCCACGTAGCCCAGGCAGGCTCTGAACTGGCGCTCTTCCTGTCTCAGGCTCCTGAGTGCTGGGACTACAGGCATGCTCTAGCTTTTTTTTTTTTTTTTTTTTCCTCAGCAAAGATAAAACTGGTGCCTGAAGTTCTCCTGAGAGCCAGCAGACTTGTAGGTGACTGTCTTAGTTACCTAATACACTGTCACAAATCACCCAAAGGAGCTTCTGGGAGTCAAAATTCTAAGCGTGTCTGGGCTGGGTAGTTCTGACTAGCCATGAGGTTGAGATGTCACCAGGACCATAGCCACCTGAAGGCCGGAGGGCAGAGGACCCATTTCCAAGGATTCCGGCTCTAGCCTCTTCTTCAGTCAGTTCTTGTGCCTTTTATCACTCCTGGGGTAGCTCTGTAATTCTGGGCATTAAATGCAGGGCCTCACAAGCCATTGTCTGTAATAGCCTACGATTCTTTTACTTGTCTACTTATTTATGTATTTTTGAGACAAGGTCTTGCTATGTAGACTAGGCTAGCCTTGAACTCATAAAAATCTCCCTGGGTCTCCCTCCCTGATGCTGGGATTAAAAACATGAGCCACTACATGTGTGTAGTACATGTGTGTCTATATGCCATGTGCACCTCAGAGGCCTGAAGAGGGTGACAGATGCCTGTAAATGGCAGGACATGGGCGCTGGGACCTAAAACTGAGTCCTCTGTTAGAGCAGCCAGTGCTCTAACCACTGCGCCATCTCTCCAGCCCCCAGATTCTTTTCCACTCTAGGTGGCAATACGACCTCTTTCTTCCCACTCATCATTTATTTTTTTAAGGGTTTATTTTGTGTGTTGAGGTATTTTGTCGCAAACCACATGTCTGCCTAACAGAAGAGAGTGGTAAAGCTCCTGTAACCGGAGTAACAGAGGGTTGTGAGCCACCATGTGGGTGCTGGGAGCTAAACCTGGGTTCTCTGCAAGAACAGCAAGTGTTCTTAACCTCTGAGCCATCTCTCCAGCCCAGTAAATGCTTCCCTTACCAGGAACTGAACCCGGGTACAACAGTAGGAGCACACATTTGTAATCCTAGCACTTGTGAGGGCAAGACAATCAGAATTCAAGACTGTCCTAAAATATACTGAGTTTGATTCTAGCTTAGGCTATATAGACACTATCTCAAAAGAATGATAAAACAAAAAGATTGGTTTTATATTTGTCTATATAAATAAAGAGAACTAATTTTCAATTAAATAAAATTATTGCAAAAGTGTGGTGGTACATGTTTACAAACACACAATCATTGCATCCATATATATATATAGAGAGAGAGAGAGAGACAGACAGACAGACAGACAGACAGACAGACAGAGACAGAGAAAAATCAGATTTTTCAGAAGATAATGACCTATAAAGTATTGAGCGGTCTTAGAAGAGGAAGATTAAGCCTAGCATGGTGGTGCATGTCTTTAATCCCAGCACTCAGAGGCAGAGGCAGGAAGATCTCTGAGTTCAAGGCCAGCCTGGTCTACAGTGAGTTCTAGGACAGCCAGGACTGCCATTACACAGAGAACCCTGTCTTGGGGGTCGGGGACAAAAAAAAAAAAAAAAAAAAAAAAAAAAAAGGAAGATCAATGTGGAATGGGATCTGATCTAGACGAGGGAGACGGAGGTATGGTTTCATGTTTTCAAGACAATGGGAAGAACCAATAAAAATGAGAAGATGTAGTTATAGTTCCATGACCATGGGAAGGAATCAATAGGAATGAGAGAAGGTTCTGGAAATGTGAAGTTAGGCCCAAAGTTCCTGGTCACTCAGTACATACTTTTCTTCTTCTTCTTGGCTACACTGGGGAGCCGCTCGCGCTCTCGCTGCCGCAGGGCCTCCAGACCATCCAGGTCAGGTGGGTGGCAGTGGCTCCGCATCACCATGACCCGCCGACCCTGGGTGATGGCTCGGCTGCGACAGCCCAGCCGAGCCTGGTCCCGGCACATCCAGTACACCTTCTCCCCGGCTGCCTTCTCCTTCCTGTACAGGAAGGACTCATACACCAGGAACCGACCTCCAAGGGATGTCTGTAGGAACTCTAGCGGCTGCACAGGCTCTGTAGGGCAGAATCAGGGTGTGAGGGAAACCACTGGAGCCAAGGCCTCGGCAACAGGAGCTGGGCCCAGGAGGATCCACTCAGGCCCCTCTCCCCTTCCCTTTGCCTGCCTCAGGACTCCAGGACCATTGCTCAGCCACGGTCCGAGACTCTAAAACACACTTGCTTTCCTTTGCAGGGTGCCAGTGTCCCTGGAGCTCTGCTGGAGGCCACCCAGACCACAAACTCCATGACCACTGGGGTCTCCCAGACAGAGGACGTACCCTGCTGGGGGCCTGTCATGACCCTGTCCACCAGCTGTCCTTGACACAAAGACATTCTCATACTTTTTAAGCTCAGGTCAAAGGCCATGTGACGTTGGGGCTGTGTCCAGAGAGAGCACATGAAAACAGATGCTGAAGCAGAACCGGCCCAGGGAGAAGACAGGAGAAAAAGGAGGCCCTTGGAAGCAGGGTCTTCAGCGCTCAGTCAAGAGCATGTGCACTTCTGGTGAATGATCACCATGCCACCTTGGGCCTACCACCCCCTTTTTCTTTGGACCAGAACTAGTCTCTCAGCAATAGTAATCAATCGTGTGGTAAAATTAGTGCCTCAAGCAGAGCCGGGAAAGGGACCAGGATGTTGTAGGACAATCAGAAGAAGTCATTTTCCCTCCACATACCTGGGCCTTCCCAGTTGGTCAGGTTAGGGAAGTTTTCCCGCTGCCGTAGGGCTTCCAGGCCACCCATGTCAGGTGGGTGGCAGTGCCTGCGCATGACCATTACCCTCTGGCCCTGGGTGATGGCTCGGCTGCGACAGCCCATGCGTGCCTGGTCCCGGCAGGTCCAGTACACTTTGTCGCCAGTCGCTTTCTCCCGCCTGTACAGGAAGGACTCATACACCAGGAAGCTGCCCCCCAGGGGGGTCTTCAGGAACTCAGGCCCTTCTGCAAAGAAACCAGGGAGGCAATCAGAGAAGGGGGCATGGACGCTGAACCTGACCTGCAGAGGGGAAGACTGGGAAATGGTCCCATCACCCACTTCATGCCCTCCCCTCTTCTCACAGAGAGATAGCCCTGTGTCCTCAAACCCCACTGTGCCCTCAGGGCTGGGGTCTATCTGTCCCAAGCCTGGAGATGGGCTTCCATCATGATAGTGTAGGAAGGGGCAGCGTGTGTGTCTGCTCACTCATACGAGGTGCCCTCCAGGCTAGCGGGCAGGTACTCTGTAGCTGAAGAGTGGGGTCAAAGCGGCTCAGAGCTGAAGAGAGGAGTGTGACTCACGAGCCCGGGCTGTGTACGTGTGCTTAGGCTGGGCTTAAGCTTGAGCTGGGGGGTAAGGATCTGAAGGACAGCCTGGCTGTGTCAAGAGGACTCCCTGCCCACCCCACACCTTCCTTGTCCTCATTTTGACCAAGCACAAGGGTTCCTGTGGTGCTTTGAACAGGAATGGCCCCCTCAAATAGCCTCATGTATTTGAATGCTTGGTCACCAGAGACCAGCACTATTTGAAAGGATTGGGAAGTGTAGCTTTGTTGGAGGGAGCATGTCACTGGGGTGGGATTTTTTGGGAGATTTCAGAAGCCCAAGTCAGATCCAGTGGCTCTCTTTTCCTGCTGCCTGCAGATGCAGATATAGAACTTTCTTCCTTTTTTTTTTTGTTTTGTTTTTTGAGGCATGGTTTCACTGAAGTGCAGAACTTCCCCAGCACCATGTCTGCCTGTGTGCTGTCATGTTCCCTGCGAGCGATAATGAACCAAATCTCTGAAAACGTAAGTAAGTCTCAATTAAACACATTCTTTTATCAAAGAGTTGCTGTGGTTCTGGAACAGAACAGTGACTAAGACAGAAACTGGTCCTAGGCAGCCAGGCGCTGCTGCGGCACGTCTCATCGTGCTGCTTGGTGGTGGAATGTGGGCTTTGGATTAGCAAAGCAGTTGAACACATTAAGCAGGGTTTAATGGGTCATACTAGTAGGAGCATGGAAGACAGTGACAGACTAGGGAGGTATCATATGATGAAAAACCTGCAAGGGAGGAAGCCCAGAGAGGCTGAGGGCTTGGGTAGAAGCACCTGATTCCAGAGCACCTAGAAAGGTGGGGAAAGAAGCCAGGAGGTTAGGACCACCTGCTGAGCAGAGCAGCCCAGAGGCCATGTGGGGGAAAAACAAGTCTTGTGGCTGTAGGGAATGCCCACCTCCTCCACACTGGAGTAAAATGTTTGTCAGGGAAAGGCTGGAGAGATGTAAGTTAAGCCGTTAAGAAGACAGGTTGCTCTTCCAGAGAAGTCAGGTTTGATTCCCAGTAACCACACAAAGGCTTACAACCATTTGTAACTCCAGTTTCAGGGGATCTGATCCCTGCCTCTGGCATCCATAGGTACCAAGCACAGCCTCTATGGATACAAGGCACACACACAGTACATAAATATGCCTACAGGCAAAACAGCTATACAAGTGAACACTAAGAAAATGGCTTTCAGTAAGTAAAAATAGTAGAGTCCAAGGACAGAGAAACAGTAAGCAAAGACACCAACAGAACGAACAGAGGCAGAAAAACTGTAAAATGTTAAGGATGTAGCAAGATAAAACCTGAGTCAAAGGCTAGAAAGATGGCTCAACCTTAAGATCATTGACTGCTCTTTCAGAGGACCCAGGTTCAGTTTCCAACACTCACACAGTAGTTCACAGCCATATGTAACTCCAGTTCCTGGGGATCCAATGCTGCCTTTGGGCCACCAATAAGCATATACACACAAGAAGAAAAAACACTCATACAGTGTTTTACACTTCAGTTTTACAGTTCAGTAAGCAACAGAACTCAGCCAAGCCTTGTGACAAGACCTACACCAAGCATGTAGACAGCGGCTGAGTCAGAGAGGCACTGGGGGAACTGGAGGCATGAGAACACCAAGGTGGGTTCATACTTAAGGAACAAAGCAGGGCGGCCCAGTGAGAGAGACGAGACAGTGAAAGGGAGGAGGCAGAATCTGTGCTGGAGTTCTCCTAAGACCCAGAACTCCAGTTGCCAGCTCTGCAGAGGCAGTTAGGCCCCATGTATGCATAGGGCAGGGCCTTCCTTTAACATGAAAAGGCCTGAAAGGCCAACGCATACAGGAAAAGTTGCTGGAAGACAGATGCCAGAGCAGGCAGGTGAAGACTGTGTCTGGAGAAACCAGCTATCGCCTCAGCAGGATACAGGTGGGGCCACCATACTGCTGAGACTATGTACAATACGAAGAAGTCATTTTTGTATTCTGCCCTTTGTGTGAGGGCAGAAACTTAAAGCTTCAGTAGAAGAAACAGAAAACAAAACCAAGAAATCTCAGACAGTATTGCGAAAGTGATCATGTTCATCACAGGAGGATCGGCGGCTGGAACTCCAGTCATGGAAAGAAAGCCACAAGGCAGGAGCATTAGGTAGGCATGTGGGAAGACACTGTGTTGCACCAGGCATGGTGGCTCATACCTTTAATCCCAGCACTCAGGCAGAGGCAAGAGGATCTCTGCAAGCTCAAGTCTAGCCTGGTCTAACATAGCAAGCTCTAGGACAGTCTGGACTACATAATAAAGAGAGACTCTGTCTCAAAACAGAACAAAAACAAATAAGGAAGACATTATGTTGAAGAACACAAGTTATGGTCAGAAAAAGCTCCTGTTGAACCACAGTCTAGGCACATCAGGGAGGCAGAGGACGCACGAATCCTGAAGCAGAATCTGGTCAATACACAGGGTCAACTGTAAGAAAAACACTACGTTCTTTTCAAACAGATCCCACTATTGTGGAATGACGCTTTACAGCCTGGCACTCTCCAACAGTCGCACTGTTCAGTAAGTGCATGGGAAAAGGTTCTCAAACGGGTTCTCCAAGATGACTAGCTCTAGGACCTCTCAAATCAAGACAAGAAAGCCCAGAGGCAGGGCAGCTAGCCAAGGGAATCTAGGTGATGGCCAGGCCTGGCATCAGCCCCCAGGCAAGGCTGAAGCAAGACTCAGCAAGCTTTGGGGTCCTCTGCTGATGTGATGCAGACTGTGGAGAAAGATGGAGGCAGTAATGTCTCCCTGAAAAAAAAAAGGCACACATAGTACCTGCTGGGCAGCCACAAGGGAAGGGCAGGATAGTCCCAGCTCACCAGGGGCAGAATTTGACAAGAACAGAAGGCAGGAGCTAGTAAGACAGTTCAGAGAACAAAGGCACTTGTTGCCAAGACTGTCAGTCTGAGTTCAATCCCAAGGACCTACAAGACAGAAGAAAAACACCGACTCCTACATGTTGCCCTTGAACCAATACACGTATGCCAAGTATGTATATACATATGTGCATGCACACATGCATGCACACACACACGCACGAATGCGCGCACACACAGAGGCATGGCAGATCTCTGAGTTTGAGGCCACCCAGAGCAACATAGTTGAGAACTGAGACCCTGTTTCAAAAAACAAAACAACCTAAAGTCAAACAAAAAGCACAAAACCTACTTAAAAAGTAGACCAAGGCCAACAGTTCCTCTGGCTGGATGTGAGCAGGTAACAAGGAGATTGCAGTAGAATTCATTTTAAGAAACGGAGAAGCAAATGCTTAAAGGAGGGATGTATGAGGCAGGAAGTGATGCCTCCTGGCATTCTCTGTTTATAAGGTGTCATAGAAATGCAACAAAAAGGGAATAAGGATGATAAAACACCTCCTGTTTTTGGAATAAGCTTAGGACCAAAAGGCATCTCAGAGGACTCCAAAAACTACCAGACTGGGAGGCTGGGGAGTGTGGAGGCTGGGGAGTGTGGAGGCTGGCCACAACCACTTTCCGTATGCAGATTCCAGCTTCTTCCGGAGCCAAATGGGCAGAGCTAGGATTCTGGCATGCAGGTGTGCAGCAAACAAATCTGGAGAGGGTAGTTCTTTTGCTCCTGGACTCTGAGGCTGACTGTTGCCCTCTGTTCACACTGTAGGAATGGGGGTCTTAAACGTTCAGCAGTCTCTACTGATAACTCTTCAAATAACAGAGGACGGGAGATTAGGCTTATCAGGTTTGGGGCCCGGAAGAGTACATGTAGGCAGGCAAAGAGGAATTTGGGAGAGCAGATCTCAGACAGACTGAGTTTGAGGGCAGAAGTGGGGGGCACAGAGGAGAGGACTGTGACTGTCAGGATACTGACAAGGAAGGAGGGCAGGACAGGCATAGCTAATAGAAAAAGCTGTGGGGTCACCATGGGTACCTGGGCCATCCCACTGAGTGGGGCCGGGGCGTTTCTCCCGCTGCCTCATAGTCTCCAGTCCTAACAGGTCAGGTGGATGACAGTGGCTCCGCATCACAGTCACCTGCCGGCCCTGGGTGATGGCTCGGCTGCGACAGCCCATGCGTGCCTGGTCCCGGCAGGTCCAGTACACCTTCTCCCCAGCGGCTTTCTCCCTCCTGTAGAGGAAGGACTCATATACCAGGAAGTTGCCCCCAAGAGGGGTCCTCAGGAACTCTGGACCTCCTGCAGGGCACAGGCGAGGCAGTTAGGGGAGGGTGTAGATTCAGAATGCAGGGGTAGGTTGAGAAGGCTGGCCACCCCCTCCCAAAATGAGGCAGCCAACTCTGGCCAGCCAGCAGGCCCCAAACACTAAGACTCACTGGGGTCCACATCCTGGTCATCCTCGGGGGGTTCCTGCAAGGGTTCCTGACGTGCCTTTTTCTGCCGTTTTCTGGACTTGGACTTGGACTTGGATCTGGACTTGGACCTGGACTTGGACCTGGACTTGGACTTGGACCTACTGAGAGTCAGTGTGCCCTTTGCCCTGCGGTAGAACAGGCTGTCCACCCCTTGGAGCAGCGAGTCTTCGATGTCATCGCAGTCCTCCAGGTCCCCAGCACCAATTCGTCTTGCTTGTATCTTCTTGATGGTCTTCTCCTGCTGTCGCCGGGCCTGCAGGCCTTCCATGTCAGGTGAGTGGCAGTGGCTGCGCATCACCGTCACGCGCTGGCCCTGGGTGATGGCTCGGCTGCGACAGCCATTGACCGCATGCTCCCGGCAGGTCCAGTACACCTTGCTCCCCACAGTCTTCTCCCGCTTGTAGAGGAAGGACTGGTGAACCAGGAAAGTGCCCCCATAGCAGGTCTTCAGGAACTCAAGGGGCCGATACCGCACTGGAGGAAGAACCCAGCAAGGTCACAAACCAAGGACAAGAGTCCAGGGGTCCCAGGAGGAACCGCCAAGTTAATTTTCTCCCAAATGTTGGCATACTTCCCTGGGCTGGGCATATGTGAAGCCCAGTGTATTCCCACCAAGCCACCCAAGAACAAGGGTTCCTTCTCCAAGTCAATTAGACCTCGGCACCCCAGTTCACACCACAGTGGGGAGGGGCCATGCTGAGCTCTAATTCAGCAGGTCATATTTTTCTAGAATTTGTTCAAAATTTTTGCTCAGCTTTTGTTTTTACAGTGTACAGAACTAAGCCAAAGGTCTTGAACACGGCAGGCAACTACTCTACCACTGAGAACATCCTTAGCCCTTCTTTTTGAGCAATATAGGCACACATTCAAATATTCTTAACATGTACTTGAAAAGACACTCCCACCAAAACCAGTGCGGTCACTCAGATCCTCATGGGTCAGGAGACACCCAGCATCCTGGAAGCCACACCCACCTATTCTAAGACTTCGCACCACCTCTCCCTAGGGAAGCAGAGCAGAATGATTTGATTGGCATCACCCCACAAGTTCCACAACCTGCCTCAGTCATTAATAAACTCCTGAGAGCCCCCAATTCATGTGGATTTTCTGAGACTGAAGGCCTTCATCCACAGGGTTGGAATTTGAGCCTGGGACTCAAAGGCAAGCCCTGCCCCTGGGAACCCTGACCAAACTTAGCCTGGATCACTGAAACCTGCCCATCAGCACACAGATTTCTAGGACCCACACCAGGCCCCGCTGCACTGGGAATCCTGAAAGGCCCTGGGACCCCCAAGTCATAATGCCGCCTACCCCATGGGCTTAATGATGACTGGGATGCATTTATATCTTTGACATTGAACACATTTTGAACCCACACGAAACCCCATTTTTATCTGGGCACGAAGGATCTGAGGGGTCTTCCCTGTCCAAGTGATGAGAGGGCACATACTCACCCACTCCTGGGGTGGGGCGTTTCTTGGGAGGTAAGCTCTGCAGTGCCAGGGATCGGTACCCCTGGTCCTCCTCTGGGGTTTCAGGGCTTGGTTGAGGGGCGGGCTCTGGTTCTACAGGGTACAGCCATAGGCTCACCCCATCTTCTTGGCCTTCAGAGCCTTCAGGCAGGTCTGAGGGAGGCAGTTTCTTCTTCTGGTGCCGGACCTTCAGGCCCTCCTTATCAGGTGGGTGACAGTGGTCCCGCATCACTGTGACTCGGAAGCCACGGGTGATGGCCCGGCCCCGGCAGCTGAGCTCCGAATGCTTGCGGCACTTCCAGTACACCTTGTCCCCCACAGCCTTTTCTTGCTTGTACAGGTATGATTTGTACACTAGAAGGCGGCCCCCATACGGGGTCTTCCGGAACTCCAGGGGCTGGGGAACAGCTAGGGGGATGAAAAGGCTGGGTTAGATTCTCTAGGGCAAGGTTCAGGGTCAGGGGACTTGGAGAGTGGGTCTTGGAATAAGGTAGGATCCTGTAGGCAGGAAGCTCTCTCAGGCTCCTAGCTGTCAGGCAAGCCCAGGTTTTAGAAGCTGTTTCTGTGATTAAGGGAGATGATTTAAGGAGTTTAGAGAATTCTGCATATAGCAACAGTTCCCATGCGCTTGGGGAGAGGGCCTGGTGCCTGGGACACAGGATGTGCTTAGAGTCTAAGAGGCTCAACTGAAAGCAAGAATGGGGTACCCAAGGTCACCCCGATGGAAAGTGGGGGTGGGCAGGTCAACAGGTTTGTCAGAGCCAGGGTCGGCAGGGCCAGGGAATCTCACCTGAATCTACTCTGCTACGCTTCCGGTGAATTATCCGCCCCTGCTTCTTAGCTGGCAAGGTCTGGGGGGTGTTGCTGGATTGGGTGGCAGGGCCCGGCATTTCCAGAGACACTGCACCAGTTGGTTTGGATCCCCCTTTATCTTTGGCCAAGACCAGATTGGAGGACTCTTGGGGTTTCCTGGCTCCAAGAGATGGCTCTTGGCCAGCTTTCACACGCTCACTCTCCTGCTCATTGGGCTCAGGTAGGGGCATCCTGGGTCTGAGAGCCTGGCCCTCAGGCCACCTTCAGCCCTCTGGCAGATAAGGTAGTTCTTCCCCTTCTTCCTCTGCCTCCCAGGCCAGACTGTGGGAGCCCAGAGGCTCTGTCCTAAGAGAAGAACAGAGGCAATTAGTTGAGGAGGCCCCTGTGCCTGGGGCTCTAACAAATGGATCTGGGGTGGAACCTGGGGGAGATGGAACTTCCTCAGCTCTGTGGGGTTGAGAGACTGCAAGAGGAACCCTGGACAGAGATGCCCTTCCTGTACCTTTCTTGGTAGCCCCACCAAGCCTCTCCAGGGCTTCTGGTGACTAATGCACTAGATACTGAGTTTTTACCTTAGAAGCCTCATCAATGTCTAGCACAGATCCCTTCCAGACCATTCCTAGTGAGCCATCTAATAGGTGAGAACAGGCACAGGAACCAGATATGCCTGAGAATGAAGAGGCTGAAATCCCACTAAGCCTGCTCAGATGCCTGAGTGTCTACCGGGCTTGGTCCTGTGTACTTCACCTCAAAGCACCCAGGCCAGCCAGCGCTGGTACTCTGCGTGGCACAAGGCTGAAGCCTAGCTCTGGGAAATGAGCCTCTCTGGGCTCACACAGGTTACCCTCTGACCTACTCTGGAGGCCTCAACTCAGCCGGTCTTCCAGATGGCAGAGGTCCTTTGCATTGACCTTGCAACTGCTGTTCCTGGGGTTGCCTTGGCTGGGCAGAGGCAGGGTTCCAGGCCTCCAGTACTGACAAGGATGGTCAGATATGGAGTGCTACCCTAGGGTGGGCTAACATTCCTGTCTTTCTAGGACAACTGAGCAATATGTAGTTAGCAAGGGGTTTCCAACCTTTCAGTAAGAGTCATTAAACAAGACAAAAGCACTCCAGACATTTTTAGCCTCTTTAATTTTTTTTAAAGCTGAGTGTAGTGGTACATGCCTGTAATCTCAGCACTCAGAAGACTCAGTGTTCCAAAAATTGGCCATAGTGATGACTGTACACTCTGTGTTAAAAACACCAATGGATTTGGGGATGGAGTTCAATTGCTAGAATGCTTGCCTGGTGAATATAAGGCTACTCTCAAGCTCCAGAAGCAAATAAAAGCAGGCACGATGACAGTTCATTCAGGAGGCCGAACAGAATGAGACCAGTCTGGGCTACATAATCAAGTCTGGTCTCAACAAACAAAAATCCAGGCCAGTGGGATAGCTCAGTGGGTAGAAGTGCACAAGCCTGATCCCTGGAAGCCACAGAAGAGTAGAACTAATTTCACAGAGTTGTCTTCTGACCTCCACCCAAATGTCACAGCATGAGACCTCTCCCACATCACACAAGCACAATAAAACACTTATGCATACAAATAAACAGAACTCAGATACAAATGTAAGATGCTGACATTCATGTTGATGGGGATGTGGAGGTTCTCTATACAATACTGCTTTTTATTTTTGTCTTTGTATGTATGTACATGAGTGTGCACACTTGTGCTTGAATATAAGTGTAGGCAAGCAAATTATACACGTGGAGGTCAAGTGACGACCTTGGGCGTCAGCCTCTGCCTTCACCTCACTGAGGCAGGGTCTCTGAGAGGCTGCTGGAAGGAAATGCCAGGGTAGCTTGTTTACGAGAGTCCTGAGCGTCTCCCGTCTCCATCTCACCACAGCATGTTAGGATCACAGATGCTCGATACCACATCTGGTCTTATGTGAACACTAGGATCCAAACCCACCCTCAACCCTATTTCAGTTTAAAAAACAAACAAACAAACAAACAAACAGACGGCATTGGTGGTGGTGGTGGTACATATCTTTAATCCCAGCAGGAGCAAACAGATCTTGAGTTTGAGGCCAGCCTGGTCTACAGAGCAAGTTCCAGGACAGCCAGGGCTACACAAAAAGAAACTCTGTCTTGAAAAACCGAAAAACAAAACAAAAATCCCTAAACTACATCTTACTTATTGTCTATGTGCATGTGTGCATGCGTGCATGCATTCAATTACATGTGAGTCACAGTGCATGGAGGTCAAGGGACATGCAGCAGTCAGTTCTCTATGACCAAGATGGATTCTGGTTACCTAATCAGGTCCTCGGCAAGGCAGCAAGTGCCTTTCCCTGCTGAGTCATCTATCCAGCCCATCAGGATTTATTTGTTTGGGGATTTTTTTTTCCTTGTTTACTTTGAGACCAAGTCTCACTCACTATGTAGCTGAGGCTGGCCTGGAACTCAAGGAGATCCACCTACCTCTGCCCAGGCTGGCATCAAACTCACTATGCAGCTGTGGCTGGTGTTGAATGCCTGATCCTCCTTTCCCTACCTCCGACTGTTAAGATGTGTGCCACCATGCCCAGTCCTGTATTATCTACTTTGCCCAAAGACTTAGGCTTTAATGTGTTCATTTTGTAATATCTATTTCTCACTCGATATAAGCCTACAAAGAAAACACAGTGTGTTCAGGTTAGGCAGATGTGAACAGTACATTCAAGAGTCTGAAATGTGTGGTTTACCTTCCATCTTCTCTCTTCCCTCAGTGCTAAGGTCAGAGCTGAGTGATTACAGCTCTCCCGCCGTAGCCCTGCTGGTGGCCACGTTTCTCAGAGCAGGCCAAGATGCTCTGCAATGTTAGGAATTATCCAGGGCCTCTCAGACACAACTGAGTCCAATCTCTAACTGCTAACTAAAATCCCGAAAGCCAGAAGCCTCTCTTGGCAGCTAAGGGCAGAGCAACAGTTACCTTTACACGGGAGATAATCTGTATTGCCATGCCCTTGCTGTGTAGGAAGCCTGGGCCAAGCCCAGAACTTCCCTGGCCACTCTTACCTGCAAAGTAGGAAAAGTGCTGAATGAGGGTCAGGGGAGATGCTCAGTGGGTAAGAGTATTTGCTGTAAAAGTATGAGATTCTGGGTTCAGCTCCCCGGCATCTGTGTAAAACTGGGTCACATGCCTATCTGTAAACCCAGCTTTGGGGTGTGAGGCCAGGCAGACCTCAGGAGCTTGCTGCTACCTAGCCTCACTGAAATTGTAAGCTTCGGGTTCAGTGTGAGATTCTGTCTAAAACTAAGATGGAGGCTGGCTTCCTCCTCTGACTCCCCTCCCCCAAGTAGTGAAGGAAATACTCTAAGTGGAATTATGTGGGCAAGCATCACTCCTGAGATAGGATGAAGGTGGTAGCAATCCCAGAAGGACTGCCACTTACTAAAGAGGAGTTTCACAACCTCAGTATTGATAATTCTGCTTCACTGTGAGGGGTGGGGCAGGGCAGGGCAGGGCAGGTTGTTTAGAGAACCTCTAGCCTCTATGTACTACATAAAATCCACTATCACCTCTTTTCCCAAGTTACTGTGGAACCAAAACTGCTGGCTGTCTCGGGAGGCGGGGACGGCAGTCGACTGTCTGAGAGCACTGTTTCAAAGCAATTAGAAGCACAGACACCGCAGCAGGATGTGATGGTGCACATCTTTAATTTCAGTACTCAGCAGAGAGGGACAGGAGGATCTTTGTGAGTTCAAGGCCAGCCTGGTCTACATACTGAGTTCTAGAAGTTTAACCTACATAAAGAGATCCTGTCTCAAAAAGAAAAAAATTATTTTAAAAATATAGATATTGAAGAGATATTAGCCAGTAGGAACCTATTCTCCAAATACCTTGCTATAATTTGGATCATGACTATCTCTCTCAAAGAACCACAGTGGCACCACTGGGAGGTCATAAACCTTTAAGTAGGTCCTTAGACCACTGGGGTATGCCCTTGAGGAACATATGGGCACCGCAGCCTTCTCAGTCTTGACTCCTGACTATGATATGAGCAGCTTGCCCGAGCCACCATCACACAGTCCACCCACTGCAAAGAAATTCGTCTGCCAGATCTTGGACTAGACGTTCAAAAACCAAAGAAAATTAACATCTTCTCATTCTGTTTTCGTGACATCATCAACACTGAAGTATTTTGTCATAGATACAAAAAGCTGGGGATGGGGCTGGGGTGGGATGGCTCAGCAGACAACAGCACTTGCTGTGTAAGCTTGAGGACCTTAGCAGATGCCAGCATTCATGTGACTGTAGAAGGCAGAGACATGGCTTGAGGATAGCTCCAGGTCCAGTGAGACCCTGTCTCAAATAAATAAGGCAGAGAGTGACAGCATAGGCCTCCGCATGCATACACACACTCACGAACAATAAAGAAACATGGGAAGCCAACTGCTATATTCCCCAGTCATCCTAGATCATAAGCTTGGCTAAACGGACTCCTTTCCCTGGCCTGAGGTGCCCTCACATGTGTCTCTCTGTGTATGCAACCACACCATCTTCCCTCTGCTTTCTTGTCAACGAGGCCTTTCTTCCTCACTGACTCCCCCAGCTCAGCTAAATC